TGATGAAGTTTGGAATAGAATTAGTAAAGTTATTATGCACACAATAACAATTATTAACGACGACGACGACGACGACAACAACAACAACAACAACGACAACATCGGACAAAATCTTTCCCTTAATATACCTTTCCCTTCCATCTTTGATGGTACGGGCAAGGTAAAAAACGGTTTTCATGACAATTTGAAAAAAAAGTACGTCTGCATTGTTTGACATGTTTCTATATCTAGCGTAGGATAATAACCAGACAACGTTTTGTCGCACAGTACGAAGCGTGAACACGGGTGGCCAAGTGAGAAAACATTATGAAGTAGTAGAAAGTTCACAGACATACGAGATGGGGTGCTGCTCGGAATGCGTTTGTACATCAACAATCACGTTGATTGATTTCAGATAGAAATATTTATTTTACAAACCGCGTAGTGTTTATATGTAACAATAACAGCGTGCTAAATTATTTCGAGTTCTTGTCACTGGTTGCGAGATCAATCTGAACTTCCGTCAGTAAGTTATGCAATGATGTTTACATTACCAATGAGAGACTTTTTTCCATTTGGTTCTTAGGGAAACAATTCCTAACAAATTGCAGCGGAGTTTTACAGATTTCGGATAATCAGAAATACGTCCCGTTTATAATGAGCTTACCAGCATCAAGATAATAATACAACTTTTCATTTTCATGTTTTAATTTCATCATTTTCATAGGTCTGGAATAGCATTCAGTACAGTACACTCTTTACGATACAGTACAGTATATATTGTTGAACTGCTTTTCTCTCCATAAATCTATTTGTTAAAATAATTTATGTGTTACGCAAAATCGTCTGACTCGTCAAAGAGTTTTGAATTGTTTTTCGGATCAGTGGGTCACAGCTATGTTATGTTGAACGTCAGCCTCTCGTAAAGAACCGCTGGGCATATAGTGCAACAGGAAACCCGACCTTTGACCCGCCTCCATTTGGACCACCCCACTCCCGAACTTTACTTGCGCGTTGTAAAATTTCCTATTCAGTTAAACTGTCACGTGTTTATTCAAGGGGTCGATGTTCGTTTCACAACAGTCACATGACTGGAGTAAACAATGATCAATTTTGAGTAAATCAAAAAATTTCCTGATTTCTATTTTGTGCCAGTTTACTAAAGGTAGCCCGAGTCGTTTCCAACGCAACGCAGATTTCATTTGTAGCCAATAGTGTAACGTCCACAACTTGAACGCGGCGGATATTTGTGTAATATTGGTTCTAGATAAAACAAATGGATGGATGGATGGATTCCAGCTAAAAATGCACGATCTTTCCTTTGCGTGGCCAAAATGATTATAAAAGTCCTGAAACAATGCAATAATATATCTGAAAATTTTGTGCGAAGAATACAGGCTAAAATTGAAGTGGGAACAATTGTGATTCAAAATAGAACAATGAAATCATCATCATTACGGGAAAAAAATATAACCACAAGAAAAGGTTTAACGACGAAGTCAATGACGACAACAACAATGAGGGCAGACATTTTTCCTTAATATACAATGACCTTCAACTAAAATGATACAGACAAAGTAAAAATGAAACCAAGGTTGGTTTTGTGTTAAAAATATCCCGACGGAATGGTAATTGTTGACATCGGTTTAGTTCACTTACAACTTTCTCTCTTTGTTAACATTTCTGACGTTATTCAGCACTGTCGAAATTGTTGACGTTATCTGATTGGTTCCGTGAATAAGTATAGACGTTCACGAAATGAACGACAAAATCTACCAGAGCAATGAGACTGACGTCACGAAATGAACGACACAATCTACCAGAGCAACGAGACTGGTGGCACGAAGTGAACGATACAATCTACCAGACCAGTGAAACTGGCGTCGCGAAATGAAAGACACAATCTACTAGAGCAATGAGACTGGTGGCACGAAATGAACGACACAATCTACCAGAGCAGTGAGACTGACGTCAAGAAATGTACCACACAATCTACCATAGCAATGAGACTGACGTCACGAAATGAACGACACAATCTACCAGAATAATGAGACTGACGTCACGAAATGAACGACACAATCTACCTGAGCAATGAGACTGACGTTGCAAAATAAACGACACAATCTACCAGAGCAATGAGATTGACGTCACGAAATAAACGACACAATCTACCAGAGCAATGAGATTGACGTCACGAAATAAACGACACAATCTACCAGAGCAGTGAAACTGACGCCATGAAGACACAATCTACCAGAGCAATGAGACTGACGTCACGAAATGAACGACACAATCTACTAGAGCAATGAGACTGACGTCAGGGAATGAACGACACAATCTACCAGAGCAATGAGACTGACGTCACGAAATGAACGACACAATCTACCAGAGCAATGAGACTGACGTCACGAAATGAACGACACAATCTACCAGAGCAATGAGACTGACGTCAGGAAATGAACGACACAATCTACCAGAGCAGTGAAACTGACGTCACGAACGACACAATCTACCAGAGCAATGAGACTGACGTCAGGAAATGAACGACACAATCTACCAGAGCAATGAGACTGACGTCACGAAATGAACGACACAATCTACCAGAGCAATGAGACTGACGTCACGAAATGAACGACACAATTCACCAGAGCAATGAGACTGACGTCGCGAAATGAACGACACAATCTACCAGAGCAATGACACTGACATCAGGAAATGAACGACACAATCTACCAGAGCAATGAGACTGACGTCACGAAATGAACGACACAATCTACCAGAGCAATGAGACTGACGTCAGGAAATGAACGACACAATCTACCAGAGCAATGAGACTGACGTCACGAAATGAACGACACAATCTACCAGAGCAAAGAGACTGACGTCACGAAATGAACGACACAATCCACAAGAGCAGTGAAATTGACGTCACGAACGACACAATCAGTGCAGTGAGAATGACTTGGCGACAATTTAATTAAGGCGACATCATTCGGTGTTATTTAAATACGAAGATATTTACAATCACCGCGCAGTATGCTGTTTTGGAAATACTTTATAATCGGGTTGAAGAAGCCCATGAAAGCGTGAGTTAGATAGAAGTTATATTATGCTGCAATTCGAGGGACCAAAATATAATGGGGAAATAGCGTAAACATCATGAACAGTGGTGTCCTGCTATACAATTCTGCTGACTGTTGTGGCCGCTTTAACAGTAATTGGCTCCAGATTAATATCCCCGTTAGCACATACTAGTATTACAATGGAACAATTACATACCCACTCAGCACTGTAAACTTATTGTCACCAGCGCCCTTGCGTGTATCGTACTGACCATTAACAGCTCCCCTCATGCAGACTCCAATAAAGACGAGGAACCATAGAGAAGGGACCATCTTGTAGCTTGGCCAAACCTGAGGAATGGAACAGAACCCCGTTACACAAGTATCGCCATTAAACTATCCTCAAGGCCTCGGTTCACGTGAGTTCACGTAAGGTCGAATCTCATTCAAACAACAATAATAGTAACGCCGATGCCGTTTTGTTGTCGTTTTCTTTGATGATTGCGATATAATGCAACAAACGAATCGGTCATCGAACGATAATTGGTTAAGTGATAGCAAGCCGAGATGCTATCACGCACAACTGATAGTCCCTTTCACTTTCACAGTAATCCACTCGAGTAGTTGTGTCTATCGTAATGTATGGAACATACCCTTGGCGGTTACTATACAAGAACACTGGTGGATACAATTGCAGTCTAAGTACACACAGGGCAGCTTAGGCAACACGTAATCCAGAAATCTTCACGCTCAGAAAACACATGGCGATGAAATAAGTACGCTGCCTGAGAGCAGAAGGTTGCTATGTGATCAATGTTTGGCGATGATGTAGAACATAAATAAAGGAATTCCTCCAGTCTCACAGAGAGCCTTAAGTTACACAACTGGGACACAACTATTAACGGGTACTAGAGACAACACGTCTATAAATCGGCGTAACAAAGTGACAGGAAGTCCTCACTTGGGAACTTGGAGACAAACAAGATCGCTGTTTGTTATCAAGCAGCGTCCGGTACAACCGTCTACTAGTGCAGGTCAGCCGAGGAGACACCACGCCGCCTGCATCCATTCACATGGGTATGATGGGTGTGCGATGGTGGGGAAAAAGGCCCTTCAAGGATACAAGGTACAATGAGTGATATCATGCGGACAAATAGTTGCCGTTTTCAAAACAGACAAAGCCGAAAATCAGCGATAAAACTTTACTGTTATCACACTGGAACACTATCTATTACGAATATATCCTTGAATTACACAACCTATTATGAGACATATAGCATGCGCCGTTCATAACACTCTGGCGGAAATATATACGCCAAGAGTGGAACTAACAACGACGACGATGACAACAACAACAACAACAACAACATTATCATCATCATCATCATCGTCATTGTCATCGTCATTGTCATCGTCATCATCATGTATTTGTTTTAGGTGTATGTCACCATTACTAGCCAGACTACCCACGGTTGGTTGAAAAAAACACGTGAATTATCGTTGAATTAGTGAGTTGAAGAAGGGACTGGAACACCAGTACCACGACGTTGTGGGCGCTGTTATTACAATTGGCATTTTGCATTTCTCGTTTTGAACACTAGGTGGCATCCATAATAGTTGTTGTGCCCTATCCAATTTAATCTTTCACAAATCCCCCAAGCAATTCTATATTTATACTAGCGCATATCAAAATACTGGTATACAACGAATACCACAATAGACTTTTCTGTAATCGATGTACGCAGAATTGCACCCCCTGTAAATAAAAACGGCTAGTGTATACAGTAACGACAAACTTAAGAAAGGAAAATGAAGGAAGATAGAACAATAAATGGATGCACTGTACACAATTAGTAAGCACACGTGTTTTTTGTTTTTTTGGCTGAACAGTGGAACAATACTCTATGATCACCTGATACAGTAGATTTAAATGTGCGTGGGATGCATTAGAATATAATTATGCCTGCCAGTGGTATTATTTCAAGCCAGAATTGTCGAATTACTCTGTTGCCATCACGTTACACTGTCAGTATCGTCGCGTTTACAGGTATGCATTATTTTATTCTAGAATTGGTTATGTAAATTGTCAGATTGTGTAAAAGGTCTATGTTGGTCATTTAAACTGTTTTGTTCAGTTTGGGTTTAAAAAAAAACACTGCTTGTTGTAAGGATTTATATTTAAGTTACGACACAAAACAGGAAACGATTCAATTTCACACAATGTAACTCAAAGCAACGACGCAATTATATTTTCAATGAATATATTTGAAATCAGCTTGAAAATTACCGCTGCTACGTCGAGCAATGACGCATTGCTTGAAATACAATGGTAGCCAGTTATTTGCAATTCTCCTGAAACTGATTTTCTCCATCGATAATAAAAATAGTGCGTCATCCGTTTTAAAATGAAGATGTTGTATATTCGGCCGGGGATTTGGTAAATGAAAGTGTTGGGAATGTTTGCTAGCACTAAAGTCTTTGTTGTTGTGTTCATGAATGTTGTGGCGTAGATTGTTTTATGTTATCCAACAGTTAACTCACGAACAGTCATGCAGAAGACGAACCAGGAACTACAGGACAGACTTGCACACATATTGAACACTATAGAATCATTGGAAGGGGTCATCGAGGCTTATGACGAGTGGGCTGACACCCATGATCAGGTAATAGATACATTCACTCCAATAACAGGCGTCTAGAAATTCCATTTTTGTGTTGAATTAATACCCATTTAGCCCCATATGTTACACTCCTTCTCGATTGGACAGATAACATTTTCTTTTATAATATTTTCCAGTTAACCAACTCTCGTGCAATCACCTTATACAATACCAATACACCTTATTTAATTTTATAATTATTTATTATTGTGTTAGGATCAATTATGTCTCGGATACGGCGCACCATTCATAACATGCGATGTCATGCGCGAGATGGTACCCGATAAAAGTGCCCGGATATTAGATGTTGCCGCTGGTACAGGACTGGCAGGCGTGGAGGTACGTTCACCGCCATTTGATTGTATGACTGAATATACTCGATCTGCGTTTTTCAAATGTTTTGTATGTTTTTGTTGCGTAATATATTGAGCCCAAAATTACCTTTTGTGGCACCAAATTGTAATATGTTATATAACATGACATCTATATATCTATTGGTTATTCTATAAACTCTTACCCATTGTAATTTGAATAATTAATATTCGTAATTCCGTTTTGTAATATTTAACCTAATATCACGATAATACTAGTAGCACGCAAGAATATATTTTTCAAATATGTATGTGATGTTGATGTTTACATGTTACCCAAATGTTCACGCATTGGAAAAAAACACATATAATGATATTACTTTTCCAGTTGAAACAAAGTGGGTATACGAACATCGATGCACTAGAGCCGTCAAAGAAACTTGCTCGTAAAGCGGAAGAAAAACTCGTTTACAATAATATTATTCTTGACACCGTTGATACGAACACTTTGGATATTGATACGGGTAAGCATCCAATATTGTCATGTTGTTCTGATGCGAGGCAACCACTGGTCACGCTAGAATTGTACGATTCCGCATTTCAAATCCGCAACAGCCGGTGTTTCATTAAAATTACATTCATAAATCTATAAGTATTTCTTATTTTGGTATCATATTAAATACATTTTAAAATGCAAACATGCCAAAACTTGTAAAAAGCTGTTTTTTTAAAAATAGGGGGAACCACGTGACACTAATTCGTGACCTGGTGCCTTGATACTACAAGTAAGTCTAATTATGGTGTGAAACATGCAGGCCGAGTCGACGCCCCCAGTGGCGAATGTTAATTTGTTTTCTGGCAGCCAGCTCACAATTCAGTCAACATCATATGTTGCGGGTTGCATTGTTATAATGTCAAATTTCATACTGACGTGATTGTAATGTTTTTATTTACAGATTTATATGACGCTGTTATAGCATGTGCCTGTTTTCTGCCCAATCACATTCTACCAAGCTGCTTAAGCGAACTAATTCGCATCGTCAAACCAAGTAGGTCAAAGTTCAAACAAAGAAAAATCGAACATTCGATGACAATAGAATGATTCTGTACACAGTTCGTTGAAGGACTGTGCTCTGTAGCAGTGTCGGTGTTATAGCATTCAGGATATTCTGTACAAATTGTAAATTATATGACATCTCAATAATCTGCGTATATGCTTTTATTATCGTAAGTTAATAAGTTGAGATAATGAAAATGAAAAAAAAAAAAATTGCCCCAAAATATTTTGGACAATGTTAAAAACATGCATTTTGAAGTGGTTACTATAGTGATATTCTCAACTATGCTCGTGGCATGCGATGAAATGGACATACATTAATACATTATTAGTGCTGTAAATCCCAATATTGTTAAAACATTCTTAAAAAATACGTTTAATTCCGAGTCAGTGAGTTTTTGTTTTCCATGATATATAAATTATCATTCACATCATTGCATATATTCACAGCAATGTTAGTTGTGAACCGGCTTGGATAACGCCACTTACGTCAGTCAACTTATTTCACTCGTTCTTTTGTTTTTTTAAATTTATTTTTAGATGGGTATATCATTATTGTCACAGACAAGGAGTATTACCAAGACCACGTATACGGTCGTGAACTGCAAAAAGAGATCAATCAATTCAGCGATGATAGAAAAATAATCCAAATTAAAAGAGAAGACAGACCCGGATACTACAAACACTTGAAAACAGCAACAGTACTCGTTATCCGAGTTCTATAAAATGCGATCTCTCGGCGATCGGTGGAGCTGCTATCCTCGGGGGCGGACATCCGGGCATTTTCACCGCCTGGAAACCCGCGGCGGTGAAAACAAAGGCCAAAAACTCGCTGAAAACGGTACTTTGGGATGGTTGTTGAGACTCCTCTGAACAGTGTAACAAGATTAGCCCTACGTGTGTAACATATATAAATTTGGTTGTTCGGGATTACTTCAAAGTTGAGTGTGTGTTGTTTTCTCGAATTTTCACCAGCTCGACCGCGACCGGCGTTCCACAGCAGCGCGCACAGAGCCCATAGAAATGCATGTACAGTGGTGCGCGTCTTAGCAACGTGGAACGTCTTGTGACGTAGCTCCGCCCCCGAGGATACAGACTCGAGTTTGTGATATAACACTACATGTGAGGCGAAGAAATTATATTCGTAGAAATATTGAAATATATGTAGTAATGATATATACACGTAGATATGTCATGATTTTACAATTATATAACCATCAATAAAGTTAATGAGAGACAATTGTTCACTTTGTGTATAGAAACTTTATGGTTTGGAAGTGTATTGTATATTTAGATCGCATGCCTCTCCTCCAATGAATATGTTAGATACGCGTATGATTTTGGTTGGGCGGATAGTCCTTCTCATCAACATTTCAAAACTGTCATATTCTTATTCACGAACCTACATATATTTACTAATGATGTGTATTAACGTTGTTTTGTCTCTTATATTTTTTCGAAAGATTTTTATTTATGTAAGGGGGCAATTCTTTAAATTCCGAAGGGAATAATGAATGTAGAGAAATCAAATATGGTGTGCACTGGGGTACAATTATTGGTAATCACATACTACGTCAATTTGTGACGGGTTACATAAATTTCAAACAAGAATCAACACATACCATAATAGAAGTTAAATTGTGTGACGAAACCGGGAACAAATACAAACGAAATGTAAAAAACATATAATGCTCTAGTACGTACATTCTTTTATTATACTAGACTTATTCATGTTGACTGCTACGTTTTTCTCGAATAAATAATACGTCCTGTCGATTCCATTGCCGGTGCGTATTATATTTCCACACTACACTACACTACACTACACTACACTACACTACACTACACTACACTACACTACACTACACTACACTACACCACACTACACCACACTACACTGCACTTTTTTGCTTTTTGCACCTAAAAAAATAAAGTTTCATGATGGTCAATTATTTGAGTTAGACAGCGCCACCAATGGTGAATAGTAAACATTTATAAAGACCAACTCAATATTCGATTGAATATTACCATAATTCAACACGAATATGTATCTGGTGCCTCCTAATTTAGTAGTAGTCCGCCGTGTATGTTAACACCATCCACGGCAACACGCTGGACTATGGCTACCTATAGTGGGGGTAAGGTCAGGATAAGGATGAAGAATTTTAGTTATGTCCGTGTTTACATTTCAAACAATAAACGAGTGTCATTCACTGTTATTTGTTCGGAAACTAACGTGTGTGCCTTATACTTATAGTATAGACTAGTACAACAATACACATGGTCCAAACCGTTCTAAGGTTCATTTCTCGTCTTTCCGATGTGATCATCATGATAAACAAAAAAAGTGTATTTTATCACTATAAGGTCACGAATTGTACTGTCGTCCCGAACACGTAACATCAATTTGATGCAATATTTGGCAGCTTTGTGCGTTAAAGTACGCAAGTACATATTACTTATTCATAGTTATTACACTACTTCTAGCGCCGTGGGAGCATTTGTTTGCTTCATCTTTGCGCGATCTGATTTTATTGAGTTGAAATTTACTGCCACATGGAAAAACCCCACGGTGTTTGTTACATACAACTATATGTTAAGGGTCTTACTAATGATAACAAAGTTATAACTCAGACTAATAATGAAATCGGCGTAACATTTTGATTTCAAATCTAATTTTGTCTTTTACATAAAACAATAATATTTTCCATTTTACAGACATTTCTATTTTGATGTATTGAGTTTAATTTAACACATAACAATATTTTCGCAATCTTACATAATCTAAAAATATCAATATAAAGTTGTTTTTATTAAGACATGGATCGATATTTGAAATCAGTAATGAAACCAAATTAATCAATTGCATATTCCACTGTCTTTACACAATTTATTTGACAGATATGCACACCTCGACACCATTTGCATACCATTATTTTGAACGAAATTCCTGGTTCACTTATATTTTCGTGTTTCCGGTGTATGTCGGTTAATTTTTCATCACTGATTAAATGGTTATGATTTTTTTATGATAATCATGATTGAAGCTGTAACCACATTTGTACGTGTTGACATGTTCCATATTCTAACACCACGTAATCGTTGGATTAATACATCATTAGTCTGAAAATTTATTACGGAAAAACAAATAATGTGTTTAATGAATTATCTTCCAATATATTAATGTATATAATACGTCATTGTTGATTGTGTTTTTTTTCAAATGGCTTTTTTCATCATGCTAATGGGTGTGATGTGAATTTCGAGAAAACGTTTGTTTTCGATAAGATACCCGGTAAGTGCTAATGGTCCTGTATGGATATAAGAGGGAACTGACGCACATGGTGTACTCTACAAGTACTGGCACGAGTTCAAACATTATACTAAACAATGTCTTTATATATATATATAATCTTTGCCTGACGTTTACACGCAAACAATGTAATGAACCACGTACTAATTTAAATTCAACCGTAACGTATGGTCTATGGTCCAGACCGCTGTATGTTTCATACTCGATGAACAGGCGTTAAATGTCTACTCTACTACTAATCATATACGAAAGGAGTGGGTGATAGTATTATCACTATTTAAATATTTCTTACTGTGACATTGGATCTGAACATATCCTCTGTTCAAACAAATTTACGAATACAGGGAAGATACTTTAAATGCCCCCGAGACCCTATGTGATTATTTTTGAGCAAGTTACGTTTTTTTTTTTAAATATTCAAAAACATTGTAATGCAACATAAAAGATGCTGAATCTATATTTAAAAAATCGTTTTCTAGAATAATATATAATGTCGAACCTGTTATTTATTATTTATTAATTTGTGGAGAAATAAAAATTATAATGTGCTTCTTATAGGCATTCTCTATCAATATCAATTATTATTTCAATTATTCGGTAATTTTTACAATGTCCAACCAAACGGTATATGTTTCCAATTAACATATGGAATATCATATATTTTTGTAAATTCTAGTATATATGCTTACTGAGAAAATTCTGCTAAGTCGGTTATGTGGTATGTGCGCAGCGCATTTGAAAGTTTATATTGCCTAATGTTTCTGGAAAATCCAAAATTCAAGTATAATATAAATATAAATTTTTCATACGCGATTGCACAATTAAATTCCAATTTTGAAGAAATGTCACATCACTTTGCACATTGGCCTGGGTAACGTACGATTCCATCTAGAAGATGCGTCTAATAAATACATGTCACACATGATTAATGATAAGACATGGTGTACATATTACCCCGGTATGCACTGACATGTGACACATGACAACATTATAATGCCAGCTATTAGCACAATGCTGATGATGATGAAGATGATGATGATGATGAATTGTGCATGTTGCTATAACGCGCTTTGTCGCACGATTTCAGCCAGCATTAAAACACAAAGCGATGTTTTATTGTACACTGTACGGCATACGTGCATTTTTCCCACAAACCGAACACTACGTGATAAGCTGCATTCTCAGACTAGTATTCATACTGAACCATAACAGTGTTTTGCCGGAAATGAAATAATGCCAGATATCTTCCTTTCCCCCGATCTGATTAGAACAATCACCTACTTATGCCCACACATAGCTGTGCAACATAATGTTTCAATCCGTGTTTTATTCTTAGCTAGTAGATACATACTGATACGAGTATGACTACAGGCCATACGTGTACTTGTCAGTGTTTACGATAAATAACAAATATAAAACAAAGTATTCCAACGGCCCGGCTTTAACTTGGTTTAATAAACACTCTACTTTACTGAATACAAAGTTCACATGGAATCCACTTTAAATTTATCTTTTCAGTACAGCGCGAAAATAGATTTTGTGCAAAACAAAGAAATGTGGTATGAATAATTAAAAAGTTATATTATTAAGTATGAAAACTAATTAAAAACTTTTATAAAAGCGTACAATATAATAATAGTGTACTTTAATGCTTTAAAGATGAAATATGGACGAGAGCATGTCATTTTAGTATAACTGTTGTTTGATACTGTATATTGACACTAGACTATGTTCTATTATAAAATGAAAACGGTGTTCTTATTCTTCTCATTATTTGTTCCATAAAACAATAGAATTCTCCAAGACGCATGCACACTGGTTGTTTTGGCACGCTCAATAGCAATCACTGTGAATGCAATATTAATGGTTTTAATGGGTTTTTTTCTCTAACGAATAATGTTGTGTGTCCTGCAAATGCAACGATTTCTAGTCGATTATGAATTCACGATTTGGTATACAGAGAGGAGTACAGAACAACAATATATATATATATATATGTTTTCGTCAATATTGTCTCTATCGAAGAGCTGTGTAAGTGTTCATCCTGTAATTTTTTTTGCTATGGGTAATAAAAAATATTTATCAAAAAAAAAAAAAAAAAAAAAAAAGTGTTCATCGTATATCAATCACTTATGTAATATATACATCGGATACATCGCATACACAGCTGGAGTGACATTGACTCGTTGCTAGGACGTAACATTACCCACAATGCAATAGTAATAGTTCTTTGACGCACACCTCTTTCACTCACCCTTATACTCTCAATTCGTGCCTCTGCCGGCGATGGTCACGTGTAACTTATGAATATTAATATTAGCAAAGGCGAAGTTCGCGAAAAAAGAAGTAAAAAAGTGTGTTTCGAGAGGCATATTAATTTAGTGGTTATGGTGAATCTGGGCACTAAATGAAAAACAAATACACTAACGATATATAAAGAGCGTATCGATTCTCAAAGTTGCTAAGATATACTAGTATATTTGGTCAGGTGAAACACGCTGGATCATATGCTTTATGTGGGAATCCCCGTCCACTGCGGCTGTGTTTCTGGACATATAGACCAGCCGTGAGTCTTCTTTCAACCCTCTAGTCCTAAGTGTATTATGATCGCTCATTTCCCATGGGATCTCTTACATTACAAACAAACGCTTGATGAGGTAATATAAAATAAAGATGAATAACCCCCACGTTAACAATTTACCATGAATGTAATCGCGATTGGCTTTTACCCAAACATACTTCTCGATGAGATATTTTTTTCAGCGCCCGAGGTTGAACTTCGACACAGACTGTTACTGGTTCATATTGAAGCGCACAGTGACCGGGATGATTCAGTCGATATCTATAAAGATGATAGTATGAAATACGATTTATTCACGATTTTGTATATAAATTAAGCTACTGACACCGATAAAAACGCGGATACAGTCTGACACGATTCCAACCACACAACCTACTATTCGCGGTCACACACTGTCAGTGGTAGCTACTGATTGTAGCGTGCGTTTTTTTATATCCAATTTCAAATTAAATTCGATGTTAAGGCCACAAACTGTAAACGGTTACAGTCAACCCATATCTGCTTTCTAATTCCAAACAATGTATTTTACGCATATTGCTTACGTCGCATGGGACCCATATCGAACATGGCATCATGATGCAGTGATTTTGAATGTGATAATCTATTAAACATTGAGTAAATATAATCATACATCATTTTAAAGTCTAACAGTGCAGATTGTCGATCCTATTAGAAACCAGCATGTTATACATATGGTATACTTGAGTATTTATTAATACAAGTGACCTAAATCTCCAGGGACTTCCCATGTGCCATTTAACGGACCTCAGCCCCAGTACTGCGTGGGAATGGGGGGGGGGGGGGAAGCAGGGAGGAGGGACATCAGGGTAACGTCTCTCAGACTGGTATACACCAATGACTATCACCAAACGTATGGGATGTAGGCTCTATAGTACTCGGCGTTAGGCGATGCCAATGACCCGAATTCTGGAGTACTAGTCATTGTGAACCTGTAAAAGTTAAATTGTTCTATGGAAATAGAGTGAAGTTTTGTTTTGAATGCAAATGTTCCCCCCACGAGAGTAGATATGGAGTGGGCAGTAACTTAACATATCCTGTTTATGACGATCGTTAAATCCTCCCGGAAATTCCCGTAATTAAAGACACGTTCCCTCACACTCGTGTGAACTTTGCTTAAATATATGCAAATTGTTTTATTTTACGCATTCCTTTGCATTCTTACTGTTTTTTATCGCACATCCTGGCATGACGTTGACACCCATACTTCGAACGTCATGATGTCAAGAGGCCTGAGAGGATTGTGGGTGTCAGCGTTTATAAATTGGAGCAACATTGAGAGATAAGCTTACATTTGCAGTCTGCTGAGCCTTGAAGACGGTCGTCTAAGCGTGCTCTCGTTGTATTGTCTAGTTGATTGTGTTGTAGTATATGCAGCTCCGAGGGCATTCTATAAAACTTCAGTACTGCTAGTCAAGAAGCCACCCAGTGCCGGTAAGCAGCACAGCAATACACGATTAAAACCACGCACAGCATTCATATCTGATCGATTTCAGCATGATTAGATTGTTGCTCTCCGGTCTACTAGTATTACTAACTGAGAATCTTCGCTATGCGGCTTCTGTTCCTATCAACTTCAAATTCCCACACATCCAACAAGGTTAGTTGCGCATTTTCTCGTTTTGTGTGTGTGTGTGTGTGTGTGTTCTATCCTACTGCTGCACCTGTAAAGTATATGTGTACGTTTCAGACCGTGTTCATTCAATTGATCGCATGTCGGAAGTGTTTGCCTTACGCTGTGCAATGGTTGTTTATTTTCAGCGGACAATGCTAGCATGTTGATTTCATTGTCTGTCAATAAAAGTTAGTTTGTTTTGCCTGGAAATGTTAGTGTTGTAATTTGTATGTGTGCTTGTTTTATTAAACACAGATGCATTCGCCCGTAGTTTATCAAACTATGAAGTAGTTCTACCACAGGTAGTCGGGCGAGACGGACGGTTTCTTTCCCACGACTTGTCTTACCACCACCGGAGATTACGTACCAGAAGCCTGGGGGGAGACGACGTGTCCGATGCCTACTACAAAGTGTCAGTCGGGGGAAACGAATACCATCTAAATCTGAAACGAAATGACAAATTCCTAGGCCCTGGACTCGTCATTGAGAGAAAACGTTCCAATATATCTGAATCAGAACTGAGGAGGAACGAACAGAACCAGTGTCATTACCATGGAACTGTAAAATCGAGAGCGTTATCCAAGGTTGCCATTAGTGATTGCGATGGTCTGGTAAGTTCAAGTTTGTCCGTATCAATAGATTACTCGTATAGAATTAATTAGTTAGAGAACTGAAATTCGTCGAATTCTTCGACATCTACAAGAAAGTAACGTCAGTTTAAAAAACGGCTGTGTTTGTAAAAGTTCTTACACAATTTAGTGTCAACATTGGTGGTCATATAGAGTTATGGGCGTCCATTCACACGTTAGGAGCAATTTACGGTAATAGTTTTGCTGAGTACTATTAGTAACTTAGGTGTCAATATTTATTTGTGATATTCAGCCCCGCTCTCTAAATAACCACCGAAGGTTATCGCAACACCAGGGCAATTTGAGGTAATACGATGAAGGGGTTCTAAAACAGCTAAATGCCATACGCTAAGTAGCCCTCGCGTTGAACAGTCTCAGAGAACAGCTGAAACGTGACCTTAATGCAGAAGAGATTGTATTCACTTCGCTGCTATATGAATGAAATCAGTACACAAGCCTTTACTTTTTGTTCAACTTACAAAAACAGTACAGAACACGCTTTTGTGCGTCGCTCTATAGAGTATTGATCGGACACGGACACACATTGATGTGAGTCGCCACGGTGTCAGTTCAACGGGACAAATCTGTCACAGAGTGAAACGCTGTGTATTCACACCCTCTATTGCCTTCACTGTCATAAGAAAAAAAAAATACATGTGCACGGAAAAACACGCCACAAAATTCGTTTGAGGAGACTCGCGTCAAGACTAGCTTGAATATATATATATAATAATATGCAATGTGAATACATCATATCGCACACATACATACATACATACATACATACATTAAGGGTTGGGGCATTTCATGCTGTACTGCTGTCACACCTGTTCAAGCAAGTCGTCTCCAGAAATCATTTTGTGTATCCTTGAGCAATGTCGGGCGCTTTAACGATTAACTATCAAAATTTTATCGTATGTCATCGATGTCGTGTGAAAAAAACCTAGCAGTGTTTACAATCGATGTATGACCTTTCGACCTGCTAGAAAATAGAAAACGACAGGCATAGCGTGATCCCACCACGCCCGAATAGAGAGTGACACTGGAAAGAAATTGTTCGTTTTTGTCACGGAGAGTCAATTGAGCCTTTATGATCCATCATTAATGGCTGTGTAATTTTTTTAAAAATAATCCGTTTGCCCCTTACCCCTTTGACTGTACATTTGCCATGCTACCGTCGGGTCCGACGACACTTATTGGGTACTTGGGCGTAGTGTCAATCTATTTGTACGGTGTCCCTGCCAGTGGGCTCTCCCCTGCGGTGAAGGGGTTTTTATATTTCGCCAAGTTTCCGTGTTAATTCAACACAATTAAAAAACCGCTTGTATAATAACTCACATGATCTGATTATTTATTGATACTCACTAAGTAATCTGAAAATTTGTTTGTATAGTAAATTTATTTTTAAAAGCAATACTGAGCCAGCTATAAACGCGTACCGTATCAGGTGTTTAATGTAACCCTAGCCTGAAATAGAGGTATTTTATCTCACTTGGGGGCTACGTACATACGAACCTCTGTACCCAAGGACTTTCTCTCGGATACATTGATATCAATGTGTGTTGTGATGTCTACAGTGGTATTTAACAGCGGGTGAATATATAAATAGAAATGGCGATTATTCCTCGACAACAACGCATGGGGCACGTAACAATATATAGTGTTAAATGAACATATTTCAAGGAGTATTAAATGATTCGAATCTTCACAACGTCCATTGATTTGATGTCCACTGAAGTCACTGATGGGCCCTCGTTAACACGTATGTGCAAAATGGCAACCGACACCTAAACCTCTCGGTTATATACTTGAGAAATAAAACTATTTGCTGCGATGTGCGTTGATTGGTGGCGATGTCTTGGAGACTTCACGATCCGATGTGTTTAAAGATAACGCTACTGTGCGTTTAGTGTTAAATTCGTCATGGCAACATACGTTTTGTTTATTTTAGTATCATTTACATAATCAATTTGGCCTGAATTTACTTGATTTTTTCGTGTATAGGAGTGCCGTTCCCAATACGTGCTGTAACTGTCGCCCCATTATTGTGGCTACGCATTTAAAGCGAACCTAAATGCGGCCTTAATTTATAGTTGTGTATATTCTAAACTGTATTCGAAATAATATTGCAGTGGTTTAATTTTGTTTTAATTATAACTGTAGCTTGGATAGGCATTTGAAGTGCTTGCCATGGAGGCCATTCATGGAGGGGAATAATTAACGAACGAACATATTTAACATCCGGGTACTTTTCAAAGCTATGACGTTTTAGTATCTGATCGCATTCGTATATGCCATTGTACATAGCCGTTCATGCTGCCAAGCATTGTGTATTATTAGTATAAACTCAACTTTTATATGCACAATGTGCTTTTTAAAATTTGGGTTAGAGCCTTATGCGTTTGAAACACAGTATTCTGAGAGTGAAATTCAGGAAGAGTAATACGCACACATAGAAAGTACCAGGGTATCGGTCGATGTACAAAGCTCATTCATTGATGTACATTTCAATACGGCATGCTTTGAAACAGATATTCGTGAACACATGTGACGTCAATCAAGCAGTCCTCCACCGGTCGTATATTCGGTCAAATGGCTTATTAAATGGCCCTGAGAATAACGTTGTTTTGTCCGAGTCGGTAGCATAGACACACACACACACATAGTTAACGTTATTGACATTAAATGCAAAATTTTAACAACGTTATAGAACAACTTCCTTAACGCATATTTGTTAAATTAACCACGAAAACCAGCAATGGTATCATGCATCGGTCACCTATTTTACAAAATTTCATGTAACAATTACGCATATCCAGAATGCCCTAGAAACGCATGGTCTGTACATGCTGATTTTTCTAACTACTTCACGCACGGTCGGTGACACGACACTAGTTGGTCCTTGGAGAGAGAATCCAGACCCATAACTCATCGTGTCAGCCGTGACGACATTAATTTACCATTCCATATTGTAAGCGACAGTAGGACCGTCTTCTTCAGTGGTAGCTTGTTAAATATCATCGAACATGACTTAAATATTTTAATTGCCAATGTATATTTCCACTCAGCAGGATATATTACAATCTCCGCTGAAATATTCTACTAGCGAGTATAAGTTCGTCGAACTTTTAAATCGTCAAATGCGTGTAAAAAGATGCGTTTATTCTTGGATTTTATTCAGACACCCCCGGGTTCTATTTTGTATTATTGCGAATACGTACCGCATTTGTGTCAATGCCCTCACAGAGAAGCGAAGATCAGCATCAATGAGCACATGACGCAATGAATATGAATATACCTATTGATTTCAAGCGTAATTACCATTTAGTCAACGATGAGAAGGGTCGTATGATGGTTACGATGAGAAGGTCACGACATGTATTCTACAAAGTAGGAAAACAAACACTGTAATTAATCATATTTGTTTCGCTTGACATTATTATCACAGCAAAGTATGCGCCAGTCTCGTAACACATGTATAGCTTTCTCAAACTCCAACATACATTTCTCATAAAGTGAAATCAGAAACGAAATTAGTGATTTTATTGTAATGTTTCTACCAGGTTTGTAACAGCTTTATGTACTACTGTATTTGATATATGTAAATAAAAAAAAAAAAGTGGTTGTTTGATTTGACGTGTTAATATGGTATATATGCCAAAAAAAATTAATTGACGATGAAGCTGTGTAATACTCATTCTATTCTGCAATCTGCACTTTCTAAATTTGCTTTGGTATTGTTTTATAACAACAAAATAACATGTATACTTTCCTGGTTACTGTACAGACTGAGAGTAATCATAGTTATAAGGACTGTATTTGTATATTCTGATATACAAACATACGAGATTAGCTTAAAGGGCAGTGGTCGTCAAGCAGTGCACGTTCGAATTTCTTGTAAACAAATAATTTATTTCACACGCGATGTGTACGTCGCTATGAGTCCCATATCGAATAAAACCGGTACTAGTACTTGCTATAGCCTGAACACGACTACTGACTACGATGAACAGATGGCAATACAGTAACAGGATAATAAATTTTCCCTTGACACGCCATTTTCCCAACAAAATCTCCGACAATAACCATATGGCCAACATTGATTAATATCATTGACCCATATCACTAAAGCTATGATTAAAATACAATTTAAATATCATTTTGACCCGAATGAACGAAATCATATTTTTCAATTTTGGTGTCATACCATCGGTTTTTAGAGACGATGATGTATGTGTGTTGTACATTTGCATGTAATTTGACTATGAGTTTGTCAACATAAAATAACTTGCGCGGATTTTAGGATTAATCGAACAAATGACCGATGTCTATTTATGCAACCTTAAACTTTACTCAACACTACACTGAGCAAAATGGCCCCGAGGTTATCCTTGCTAGATGTTACAATTGCATCACCAATTTAGATTTATTCTGCCTACAATCGTTCAACAAATGAACAATGAACGCGACGGCATTATACCGACCCCATTTTTAGACCCTGTGGAACGTTTTACATTTCTGTTTCAGCCAAGCAAAGAACCCGTATATCATGTCACAGTGGATGGGCCAAAAGATAGAAGAGGCACTCACGTACTTCCGCTCAATATGACACTCCTCTCATAGAGATGTATGGCACTAGAGTGCAAATCACTGAGACGTAACAAAGCAAAATAACAAACCATTTAGATGTAGTTTATTTAACACTACAATGACGAGACAGAGTAACTATGTGGAAGTGAAAACAACATCATAATCGCTTTTATCCCTTGAGTTCGAGAACCGCTAGGATTGTAACCCCCAAATACACAACCTACAGCGGAGGTAGTCATAGTTTTATGGAAGAGGTTGTCCTCAAAACGACAACTGGCCAACGCTTTGTACGTGCAGTATGTTCATCGACTTAGTTTCGTTGTATGTTACAGTCTACACATTCGCAGATCCACCCGTTTAGAACGCAGTGAAAACTCGAATCATTGCCCGATCATTAGTGTTGGCATAAGCGTAAGTCATCGAAGACAAAAAGATCCAAGCCCAGAAGACGGTATTCTTGAAATAAATTTTCAAGCAGAACTCTTTTCCTTGAAGCATAAAAAAACATATTTCTTCAACACCGTCCAATATACTCCAATAGACTATCGAGTCTATATTTACAGTTTGGATTACTCAGATAGAATACACCATTTTTTGTAAACTTTCGCGAAGCTTAACGGAAACCACTGATAAGCTCGAGTCCGACAAGATACCCACGTGCTTACCAAGATTACCAGCTACTCTGATCACATTTCAACTTCGTCACACATGTCTTCACGAACCAGGGATATAGAACTCATGCCTATACGAACATAACTTCAAAAAGAAACAAATACACTGTCTATCAAAGATGGCATAAAGTTTATTGATACACTGGCTGTGTGTGTATCTAGTTGTCATTCTTGTTGAAGTATCGTGTATATATAATTAAAACAAAAACAGCTGGTGCTTTCTAATTTAATCCGAACCGTGTATACTTGTTCATTTGCAACGCGGGGCAATCGATCTAATACGAGATATTTAACGGATTTTGTTTTAATTTGAATAACAGTTTTTAGATTTAGGTCACCAGCCCAATTTGCCAGTAACCAGAAAACCGATAATATATAAACCATGTTCTAGTTCATAATTCTACCACTGATTACCACTGATTACCACTGATTACCGCTGATTACCACTGATTACCACTGATTACCACTGATCAGATCGGCTGCCTTAAGCTGACAATTTTCTGTTATCACTTTTGCGTCTTTCAGAAAGGATTTATTCATGATGGCGAAGAGGTATACTTCATTGAGCCAGTCATAGGTCACGAGGGGCCAGCTGAAGAAGGCCATCCGCATCTTGTGTATAAAAGGTCGGACCAAGAAAACTCTTATGATTATAGTCAGCCACAAAATACACACCACCATAGGGAAGAGGAGTCTCGATATTGTAGCGTCGAAAGTAAGATGGATTTTGTGCATTCAAACATCATTCTGCTTGATAGAAGATTGCACGAGGTGAATCTAATGTAGTGTAACAATGCATATATATTCATAATTTGATGAAGTTCTTGCATATTAATGACCTATTTTGCATAATAAATTTCCAATTTTAAGCATTTTCACTTGTTTTTCAAGTACCATTCAACAGATTTGAATGAAACATGGCACATAAATGCTCTTGGAGTATGCGGAAACTTGATTAGTTTTCAGTTGTCCAATATAAAATTGTCTCTGATTTCTTGTGATATAAATATTCTGTGTCTAGATGATGATACAAGGATCAAACTCCGTAAATTACAGTGTGTCTATCAGATCTTTACATCTATCTCAGCGTGTGTTTTCACAGAAATGGTCACCTAGACTGTATTTCATTTCAATATCAAATTTACGCAACAGCAATAACTGTACGTAACAGTAATCGCCATTATCATCGACCTTAACATCTGAAGTTTTTGTCTTTTGTCCTTAGAATCGAATTTCAAACCGGTATATATATAATAGCATACTGTGTTGTATATGCGATGTGTGAATGGACAACCTATAATTTCTGATAGCCCCTCAGGTTTTGATGTTTTCCAAATGGCAACATAAAAAAGCGATAAATTCAGTCATAACATTGACAATGACCAGAGAATGCTTTGAACATGACCGTGGCTCAGTACAGCTCTACTTGTAAATAGGTAAATAAACATAGTATGAGAGTACTTATGAGCCACAATGTCCGGACTTTATCTATTCTCGAATCTGAAAGGCTGACTTCTCGGCATATGCATTTAGTGTGTTAGTAGATACGGTCAACTGGTAGCAAAAACGATTTCATCGTACCTCGTACATAATCCGTCATAAGAGCTACTAGTATTACAAAAGATGGTTATAAGACGTAAGGCTTTGTTAAAGTAGCCAATAAACATAGTTTTATCCAGCTTCTCAAAAACAATCATTTTGTTAAAACATCAGTCTTAGAGTAGCGCCGCGTCGTCTTTGATACGGGTGCGCATGCCAGGTATGCAACGCGCGTAAAACAACGTTGTTCGTTCACACGCTGCGCAACGATTGCAGCGCTTCAAACGTGGTACTGATATAATCGCTCATATAGGTTACTCCACTAAATACTAAAAATAAGCACCATCTGTTAAGCTTGCAAGGCGTCCTCAACGTATAGTTGAATCAACTGGGTAATATATATATTGCGATACCCCCACGATGATATCAAATTTGAAAATACATATTATTTCGAAAAGGTGATAAACTTGAAAATACCCAACATTCTTTAGAAGGACTTTTTCTCAGAGTAAAATTCCCACAGCGACAGCAACTGTCGTTTTTTATTAGGTCATTAATAGTTCTCTGTGTGTGTGTTATGATAACACCATCTTCGTTACCAGCGACGTAACATTAATATGTGTTGTTTATATAAAGACAAAATTTTAACAGAAAAGAAAGATAAAATCTCCAAGTTGTTCTAATATCATGCGCCCTAGATTCCACAGCTGTCGTCGCTGTATAAAACACGAATTATTCTTTCAGTTTTTATTATATTTTTAACCAACCACACCGAAAATATTTAGTCAGTGATCAAGATCTTTTATTGGTGCAACAGATTCATGCGAATTATGCTGTTTTGTGAAGTATTCGTGTATTTCAACGACAATACTCTGTTATTTACCAATTCTCGCACATACGGTGAATAGCAACATTCACAGATGGAGTTCTTCTTTTTAATACCCCTGGGAGAGACGATTAGCAAACTGGTATTTGTAATGGCATCGGGAAATATCCGACCTTGGTGCCCAGCACGTTTATAAATTAATACCACATGATGTGATATATTGGACAATGTTACCGTTTGTACATGTTGTTGACTGACTGACTGGCCGATGAGTGTAACCTGGGCCAGTCAATTCAAATAATCACGCATGCGCATTATTACCATATCCATTGGACAGCACTGCCAGAACTCTGTATGAGTTTTACGACAGTATTGAACATTTCTTTTGCTCAACTTTTTATATTTCGAACCCAATTAAATAAGTAAGGAGACAGGATTGGTAATCTGTGTTTTCCTGTTTTTACTTTACATCTGTCTTTGTGTCCAGAAAACTCTTATAGTATGATTCATACGTATGCATCGCGTGAACTGAATCCAAAATTCAACTCTTCAATAAGCTTGACAACTCATGCGATGTCGTCAGACATCTGGATACACAAATGCTGAAATTGCTTTCAGTAATCTGTTTTGCGTATTGTCAACTGATCCATTATCGTAAGTTAATTTCCTGTTGTGTGGGGTTGAAGCAGCCCCTCCTGAATGCCAACCCTATCTAAAGTGGGTCTTTCTATTAAGTTACTTACAAGTCTGTGATCTGAGATTGGCCGTATCCGCTGAGACGCATATTGAACCAAGTTCGTGACTGAGACATACATTATGACCCAGTGAGTCATAACATCTTCAGAACATCGATATTGTTTTTTTAAATTCCACACTTTACGGGTGATCGACCTGAAATCAAAAATAGCCCGTGTACATGAATGCACTGTTCATTGACATTCAAGTATTCCATTGGTTATTTACTCACCTTCCCAGTTAACATGTAGATTTTTGAGCTCGAGCTGAATTACAATTGTTCTATTGGGAAATCACTAAATTAAATGAGAATTTTTGGGAGGGGGGATGGGTTTAAGCTTTAAATCGATAACAATATATTATTTTTTCGCCAAGTCACCAAACAAAATCTTGATATATGAAAAAATACTGTTCAGCAGAGAAATTAATACAAAAATAAATTTTGGACTTTCAACATTGTTTTCGGCGACAAGGAGTTTCGTTTCGAGCATGTGCAATGATAATGAGGAAAAGACATAAATCAGTGAACCCACTTAAACAGTCTGATTGATTGAATAATATGTTGGCGATTTTTTCAACCCAATACCCATCGATGTGTCATTTTTACTTGATAATGCTATACTAAACAATTCGGACATGTTCGTGCTCATTACAGTGATTTATGAAACACGTGCGATATAAGCAGTAGTATAACAATCGGAATGTTAAGTTGTAGTTCCTGTAATAATCGATAAGATATCACAGTCGTAATACTGACGACCTGTTGCTATAGATAGTGCTACATTTGAACACTGATGGCATTTCCGCTCAACCATGCTACACGAACATAGTGCAGTTTTTCTCCAGATACCAAACACGGTTAAACAATTTTGTAATGAGTATTTCTCGCTTTCATTCAGTTGATTTATAATAAGGAAAGGCTTTCCAACATTTTTAACGTAACATTTTCCCATATTTGTCCAGGAATTAGCTGGAATCACCATAACTTATATCGGACTCAACGTTTTTGGGAACTGTTCACATTGCAGCTCGCTACGTTACGGTATGCTACGCTACACTACACCACGTTGTGCTACGCTACACTGCGCCACGTTGTGCTACGCTACACTGCGCCAGGCTATGCTACGCTATACTGCGTCACGTAATGCTACGCTATACTGCGTCACGTAATGCTACGCTACACTGCGCCACGTTATGCTACACTACACTGCGCCACGTTATGCTACGCTATACTGCGTCACGTAATGCTACGCTACACTGCGTCACGTTGTGCTACGCTACAACGCCACGTTATGCTACGCTATACTGCGTCACGTAATGCTACACTACACTGGCCACGTTATGCTACGCTATGCTGCGCCCAGGAGTGTTGCAGTTTGTCTTTGCCCAATCATATCACATCACACAATGCCTTTCACTGCCAACTTCGATGTTAATCAAATTGTCAGGCTTCCTACAATACACTTGAGTTAGTCTAATACGGTTAACGTGTATTCTTGTAATTATTTCAAGTAGAACTATGTTAAAACGTCAACTCCCAGTGTAATATTATCATGTAGGATAACTATGAACTGCTGGTGTCTAGTGCTACTTGACCCACACTGTTTACACTGATTTTCGTGCTGTGTTAATCGGTCTAAGGTCACATGGGCAAATATAGAGGCATATGGTTTCATGTGCCGTCTTACACATATTAGGCTGTATATTTTTCAGATCGTTAATTCTGATAGTTATTTGGTCTAAGTCTAGCAAGTCCTGGGCATAAAAATCTGATAGTTTGTTTTCTTGCAAATGTGCACCCCTGCCACTCTGCACCATAATACACATATATACACACCATTACTCAAAAACATGGCTACAGAACGGTTTAACTTCAGTGCACTTATAATGTGCACTATATCATCCCATGGGGCTAGCTAGCATGGTCATCTCACAGTCCTTACCATGGAATACGCTCATCATGATATATTAGCAAATTAATTATTCAATAAAAGTACAATAAAATATAATATTACATTATTTAGAGCCTTGATAGTCATTCCGATGTTGTTTTCACTAACACTTATTACATTTGTATATAGGCGACAAAGACACTTCATCGACGTATATGAAAAAGCCACGTAAACAGAAGAGATCAGTCAGCATTGAACGTAACATAGAAGCCCTGGTTGTAGTCGACCAATCGATGACAAACTACTACCATGAACAACGTCAAGACGTTGAAACCTTCGTGTTGACTATCATGAACATGGTGAGTGTTTACAACATTTATTTGTCTGATTTGTGTTTGTTTGATTTGTCACATACATCTATACATCAGCAACATCGGGATACAAGGGTTACGATTCCAAAAGTTTTCACATTGGCTTTGTAAACATTGTAAAGATTGAAATATTTTCTATATCGCTTGTAAATATACTTGTGTAGTTTCAGTAACTGTGACAACGCTGGTGCCTAGAGTCGCCCCCACCCGCTGTAAACTGGTCGATATATCAGTTCATACGAGGGCACACATTAAGTATGCACGTCTCTAAACCAGATACACGTGTATCCAACCATTAGTTTAATTCCCCCCAAAGATCACGGATCGTTGATAATCCTTGTTTCCGATTCAAGGAGATTATAAACGTCGTTTGTTCCTCATCTAACAGATAAATTGACATTGTTATTGATACTACGATCCATTAGATTCGTATCGATAGTAGACCTACCGTGTTGTAGATGATTTCCTGTGCACCGATCGTCCTGATTTATCACGTGTTCCGTGGTGGAGTGATTGGTGTTCGATACGATATCATGAACAGGAAACAAGTTTGTGATGGTTGGAAAGGGTAGTTGTCTCTTTAAAATCACATTAGACGATGGAATGTTACTTAAAACCTCTATATTATGATTTGTGAGACTGGCCATGGTTAATTCTGAATGCAGCGAAAATGTGTCAAAAACACAACTAAATGTACTGTACCATATTAGTATTATTATTTTGTTAAAGATTGCAACAGTACTTCATATTTGTTAGATTAGATGTATAGTAAATCTTTCACGATCACTTCCCTCTCTTTACGTTACTCAAACGGATATTTCATTACAGTCTTACACATTCTTAGCCATAACAAATCTAATCGCGAAATTCCACTAGTTCATGACGTTTTTTATATTTCTATTGGCGAAGTTAGGCAAAATCAAACATCGCCCCCAAAATAGATAATACTCGCATGCAATATATATTTATGCGGACAAACAAGATAATATTAGAAGTTGAGTTCGGTATATTTATAAATGGATGTATGGCTTCGTTAACTTGTCATTAAACGCAATTATTGGCAAGACCCGTTCTACCTAACAAACTTGTCCTTTAGAGAGAGAGAGACACCATGTAATTAAACTTTGAGTCAATTGGACGCGAAGCTCTAAATAGACACGTACTGAAATGTTAACGCTGTATTGTGTCCTCTACTCTACTGAAACGTTCTAAGGCGTAGACCGGGAACAGTTTATATTAAGACTCTAATAACTGTACAATTAAGTCAAACGGAACAATACACAAATCACTCGCGGTGCATGCGTTTGGTTAATGGACAGTGGAGTAAACAACTACACGGTCCGTCCATTTATCGTTGGAATGGAATCAATTAAATAAGCTAGCGAGTCGAATTTGATATGAATCTGGACATAGGGGCCAGGGCTGCCACGTAGAGCATGCACCGTGCATTTATCCAAAGTACTAGAGGATTGCAGCCTGCGACAGCACACTGCCCTGAGGTAATCTACATCAACATTCATCACCCCTTTCAGTTGTTGGTGACACCAAGTAAATTCGGTCGGGGCGCCCTTTAATTGCAATTGTCGCGAAGAAGTTCAAGACCTTGAGGCTGATTGGTCGATTCAAGGTGATCGATCACTTATTTTTTCGAAAAATAGAAATTACTGACGGACGTTCGCAGTTTGAGAACGCTGGCCTATTACAATAATGTGCGATAATACATTACAAACCAACCTCAAATACATTACTGTGAGTAAGACGCTAAGTTAAGTTCGAATACTGACGATAGGGGGGGGGGGGGCGAAGCCCAACTCATTAAGTGTAAGGTAGAGCGGACAACGGCGAGGCTAGGCGATATACTAGTATATGTCGCCGACTTGCATACGAAATGCATACTTCAGTGTGACACAATAACACGTTTGTTGGTATTCATCTGACCCTTGTTCCTGGCTGAATCACTATATACACAATATATACGCGATTGTAAAGAGCACCGTGTCTTACATGTTCCAAAAATGGCACGGTACTCAGCAGCTGGTGTTCATTTACACGCTTTGGGGGCATTTCCGAGCATACCGGCCATTATTTCTACCAGGGCGACGCGGTTCAAGTAGACACGCTGTGCAAATTATTCTCTTTATGTATAATATTGTTTTCTACGTTATTTATTCACAATAACACGTGTTCATGGATTGTGTGATATTTATTGAGAGGAATATTCCACTGCCTTTGACCTCAGGCAGCCCCAGAGTAATTGATAAAACAAACACCGCGCTAGGTGGTCTGTTCGTTTCCCCGTTTCGTCGGGACGAAAGTTGCACTGCCTAGATAATGGACACGTGTATAACGTTACAGTGAATGTTTCTCTAGCGGGGAAAATAGATACATGTATTCTCTGTGTTTAAATCTATCAAATCCTTAATGCATTACGGGATGGCCTGGTTATTATGCGATGATTCCCGGTGGTGATAAATCTGTAACTGGAAACAAAATACATCGAAGACACGTTTCAGGGTGAACTCTGACCCTGTGTAAAACCTGTTAACAATCTGTTTCAACTGACCAAATAATTGCATTCTAAACACACATGCAATTTATGATGAGTCAGCTTCCCGTCCCCTACATCGATTTCGTCACAACAACCAGGCTGCTCTCAATAACAAGGGTGTTTTTCATTAAGTATATCGAATGTGGGTGGCGAACCGCCAGGGAGATTTGAACGACTTTCCACAGAACACAAGTTACGTCATTCTCAGTGTGTGGCATTATAAATACACTGCTACTGTTGTCACCACACGTGATATTATCACTACAACATGATTCATTTACATTGTTACGTTCTGAAAAAACATAATCTTTTAAGTGGGGAGGTGGGTGGTGGATATTACACGTGTGTTAAGCGTCCGTAGGGGTTTTTAACGCCGTAGGGAAATTGGCACCATTAAACAGTGTTCTAGGTAGTCTGGTTTTGGTTGTATTGAGTCAAGCTATCCACCAATAAATGCCACAATGCAAGTCGACAATAGATAAACACAGAATTATTTATATGATAAAGTGACACATTATTGATACACCCAATTGGGAAAATAAGATTTTTGCAAGTCTAGGAAATAGTTGGGGTATGTATAACTAAAAACCTGATTCCACACTGAGTATCAGATGTGTGAAGATGGAACTTGTGGAATAATTTTTTTCTTTTTTTTTTCAAATT